ATCTCCATATTTCCTGGCTCTATTTCCAACCACCTTGGAGTTTGCAGTGTTCCCAGAGGTATTGTATTTTTGAGATATTTGACAGTATGTGCTTGGTATCTGAAGACAAGATATAGTAGAAACATGCTGGACTTTTATAGGTTATAGTGAAGTGGGCATAAAGGAACAGCCTCTGCCCACTACCTTAAAATTATGTATAAACCTCTTTTCTTCATCTTACAGTAAGGGGCATAGGATGATGTTATTCAGGTATATTGGGTTATGCTATTGCTGCAGGAGATTGGGCATTGGCAAACAAGGACAGCTGTAAGGACAGCTTGTTTAACCCTTTCCACTCTTATCATGCCTCAGTTTTTTGCTACTGTCCGAAAAAAATAAATATTTTCTCACCTCTGAGAGAAGCAAAACCTTTTCTTTACTTTTAATAAAGATTTTTTTCATATGCTACATAGCCAGAATGAGCTCATTTTGCAGCTTGTCAGAATGGTTGATCTTTGCCAATGCTACAGAAGCCATACCCAAACCCCACTGAGAGGAAGTAGCAGGGTTTGCCAGTAAAATGTCCTTGACTATTAACCCTTCCTGCTCTGCAGTTGGTCTGTGTGTAGCCCTTGCTGGCACTGTCTCACTTACAAACCATTTCTCAGACCTAGTCAGCTCAAGATCCTCCAACAGGTTTGGGGTGGATTGCTAAAGCTTATTACACTGATAGCCCAAACAGGATTCTGGTTTGGGCAGAACGTCATGCTCCAACCCTTTCCACTGTGCACATCCCAGGCATAAAAATTTCAGCTGACTTCCTCAGCCGTCAACATCTGGGCTCCAGAAAATGTTTTTTTCACCCCGAGGTGTTTCAAGACCTTTGCCACAGTTGAGGGATGTCTGACGTGGACATCAAGGCATCCGGGATCAACAAACTGATTAGGTTTGTGTCTAGGTCCAGGAATTCTGTAGTCTTCTCAGTGCATGCACTGGTAATTCCTTGGGATCAGTTCCTCCTCTAAAGCTCCATCCTCACCTGTTTTGCAGGTTCAGGGGCATTTCGATGATTCTCATTGTGCTGAACTGATCCGGGCAAACAGTCTCAGACCTCATCAGATTCATTGAAGACTCTCTGTGGGCCCTTTCAGATCCTCTGTCCTAGGGACCAGTTACCACCCTGCTTTTTGGTCTTCAGTTTTAACAGGCTGGCTGTTGAAGCTCAGGTCCTGAAGGATCGGTTGATTTGGTTATCCCTATGTTTTTAAATGCTAGGGAATCAACTTCTCGCAAATTTCCAATCATACCTGGAAAATATATAGAAAAATCCTTGCAGTACTCACCCTACCTGATACTAACAACCTAATTAAAGAAGACACATTGTCAAATGCTAAACCATGTGCACTGAAATATTTGCATAGAGCTGCTGCCATTAAAATGTGTAATCACACCACAATTTGAATATTTATATGTGAAAAGAAACAGCTAAGTGTTCACAGAACTAAAAAATACAAAGATGTGCAATTCGTAATAAAAAGAACTCAAAATAAAAATAAACAGGGGATCTGTACATGCATCACACTGTACTTAAAAACATATAATGCGTTAATTAATACATTATATGTTTTTATGTACAGTGTAATGCATATACAGATCTCCTGTTTATCATACCTGAAAGGCCAATTTCTCATGGCGCAACATGGGAAATTCCATCCCAGGAAGTACTCTGTGAGACACATCAGGGTTTATTTACTAAAGCTGGAGAGTCCAAAATCAGACTCCCTTCTGCATAGAAACCAATCAGCTTCCAGGTTTCATTGCCAAAGCTTCATTGAACAAGCTGAGGTTAGAAGCTGATTGGTTTCTATGCAGAAGGGAGTCTGATTTTGGACTCTCCAGCTTTAGTAAATAAACCCCATCCTGTCTTCTCCAGTCTGGACTGGATCAATATTTATCCCTGAGTACCATCAAGGGTCAAATTTCAGCCATTGTGGTTAATTTTAGGCTATCTTTTTAAGCTTTTTTTTAAGGTCATAGTACAGGATATCACTCTCATTATTCCTCTGTAGGTCCCCCCTTTGCAACTGTGGGATCTCAACCTAGTTCTTCTTGGTTCTTCAGAACCTTTGTGCAGAATTGCCTTTTTTTTTGTAGCATTAGGCATGTACGTTGTCTTGTGTTATCATGCGTCTTTTTTGCATGTTGCCATGCATTTTGAAGCATATTGACATGCATTTCCAATGCATATTTAAATTAGGAATTTGAAGTCGATAGGGTTCCTAGCCATTGACCAAGGCTTGTTAATAACTGTTGGCAACAAATCAAAATGCATATAAAATGATCCAGTCCACTACTTGCACTGGGACTCTGAGGAGTATTGGGGCAAGGTGCTGTGATGTTTTCAGGAAGCTATGTACGGCGTCCTGCCAACCCCTCCCACCAGCCATGATCTGCCTGCATTCCATATAGATGCAAAGATGATTACATTACTGGGTCTAAAATAAGGTATGTTATGAAAACAGAAATGTATGTAACAATTTAGTAAGCACATTGATGTTAACTCAGATTTAAAAATACTGCTTCATAACAAATTTGCCAAAGAAGTAGTCCCCACGGTCAGGTTAGCTGGGGCCTTGCAGCTTGAAAAGAGGTAAGGTGTCTGTCAGATACAGATGTTGTGAGTACAGCCAAATCTCTGTTGACTTATGTTATATGCAGAGTGATTTTGCACTACATTTCCTAGAGGGAAGATGGGGGCACTGAGACATTTCCAATGATACCCACACCAAATTCCAACGTACCTGGCAGCTTTGGCTCTATCATTTCCCACCCTTCCAATTGACTGTGCTCTCTTTGATTATATGCTATTTCTTATACAACAGATAGCATAAAGCCTCTTCATAAGGCCAGCTATCATAATGCCTCTGGGGTTTCTCCCTTTACCCCCTCCCTTTTTTTCCCTTTTTTTTCTCCTCAATTTCCTTCATTTCTACTCATTTGCAGGTGACCACAAGTAAGTGGTTATGGTCCCCCAAATGTTCATAACTTACAAATCAATTTTGCTATATCCTATAGCATTATTTGCTAATATGCCCATGGCTTTGATATTATTCTACTAGTTACTATGGGTTATAGCAAAAAAGCTTGCTATGCTATATCTAACCAGTCCACTCGGATCGACGAAAGTCATTGTGCTATAGGCCGGGCAGGACTTTCATTGATCTGAGAGGATGTCATATGACATTCTCCCAGATCGCGCATCACACATGCCCGCGGGACCACACTGCTGCAAGATCTGTCACCGGCTGTATCCACCAGCCCTCTGCCCTCTGCCGGTACCATGTGACCACTGTGACCAATCACAACAGGTCACATGACAATTGTAAACAATGGATGGCTTCCTTTCATGCCATCCATTATGTAAAATTGTGTTGCTAGCCGTGATTGGTCAAAATAATCACATGGTACAGACTGGGCCATCCATTGTATACAAGTGTGTGTAGCTGTGAATGGTCACAGCGATCACATGCACAGGCTGGGCCAATCACAGCTCATCTGTGTCATGTGATTAGCCGTAGTCAATCACAGCTAATCACAAAAAAAAAACTGAATGAATCAATTTCATTCAGTAAAATGCTTGCTTATAGCAATAAAATTCACTGCTATAGGCAGCTGGGTCCTGTAGAAATCTTCTGTGTAGGGTGCTTATCCTGGTGCTGAACAGCCAACCCTGGTCTTCTGTGAACTCTAGTGAAGAAGGTCAGACAGTACCTGCCCCCTCCTGCTCTCTTATTCTTTCAGAAACGTCTGTGTATAGTTTACACTGCATGTAACATAATCTCTGAATGGGGGAGAGAATCTTGTCATGAAAAGCACAAGCTTTTCTCAGTAGATGAGAGGGAAGAAGAGGATGGATCCCCATCAGAGGATTTGCACTGCAGACCATAGAAGACCCAGCACCAGAGGACGAGACATCCCTACACAGAAGATACTTCATTACAGATAAGTGATGTGATTTCAGTCTTAGGAGAGAAAATGATTTTTGACCAACCTTCAGTCTTAACAGGGTTAATATACTAAATCAACAAAGTTTATTTCCAGAGTTTGCCTACAATTTAAGGAATTAGTCCAATCAAAAAACAACATTTATGTTTGTGATAGCGCTATTAGGTTAAATTATCCACATGCTTATTATATCACTGTGGGTCTCTACTGGTGAGATTTCCATCCCTGAGCTTACACTACTTATGGATAACAGCCATTAAAAAGGGTGCCACACTTTCCATTTTTGAATATGAAAACTTCAACAGGTCAACGGCATACCTTTAGCCACAGCTGAAGGGAAACTTAGTGGCAGGATACCAAGAACATTGTTGGGGGAGCTCTGACAGCTGCTGGTCCAGAGAAATACAAGAATCCCTTGAGTGACTCAGCTCATCACTATCCACCCATAACTTAAAGTTGAACTATGGTCAAGCTATTAAATTAGGCATATGATGTAGGCTGTCCATACCAGTAAAAATGGTCTCTCTGATTTTGCAAAGTACCCTCTGGAAACATTTTGTAAATCCCTGATGATTCTACCCTTAGAACCTTTGGATAAAAACTTCCTGGCTGACAATGCTCTTTCTTCTGCAGTAACATCACTGTATTGTTATCACCCTTGCTGCTGCTGTAGCTATGCCACCAATGACAGCTGATCAGTGAATAGCTACACCTCTTTTCACCCACAGCTCATTAGATTGGCAGCACATTGCTTTATCTAGCAGGATGCAGGAGAAATCTAGTTTCACAGATGCAATTACCATTACAAAGAGGTAAATCAACTAAATGCTTGACTTGAAAATACCTGTTTACCACTTTAATAAGTAAAAGAAAGTGGCAAGGCTTTAGAAGGACTCTAAATATCTGTACTGGGTGAAATTATGCTATAATGCATATAAATTGGACCTGACAAACTTGAATCAGTGAATTAATCAGTTTTATGCTTTGTAGGTACGTCCTGAGGAACTTCAGGTTATATGAAAATGGAGGATTATCTACGACTTCTGTACCTTAACGTGACTGGACATCTAGGCCCTAATTGGGAAGGGGAGGACCCATGTGCAGAATCTGTTGGCAATGTAACCTTTTTAGTTGTGGCTTACAGCGCCCTTATAGCTGTGGGACTCATTGGAAATTCTTGCCTGGTCTTTGTCATTGCACGTCAGCGGGAGATGAGGAATGTCACAAACATTTTTATTGCTAATCTTTCCTGCTCTGATATACTCATGGCTTTGGTGTGTCTACCCGTCACTGTAATCTACACTCTTATGAACCGCTGGATTCTGGGCGAGGCACTCTGCAAAGTTACACCATTTGTGCAGTGTATATCTGTCACAGTCTCTGTGCTATCACTAGTCCTCATTGCTTTGGAAAGGCATCAGCTCATTATTCACCCAACTGGTTGGAAGCCCCTGCCTTGGCATGCTTATCTTGCTGTTGCTGTAACTTGGGCCATTTCATGCTTCATTTCTTTGCCATTCCTTTCCTTCAGCATTCTAACCAAGCAACCATTCCAGAACCTATCATTGCCATTTGACCCTTTCATTGATCACTTTGTTTGCACTGACAGCTGGCCTTCTGAGAATCACCGTCTAGCTTACACCACCTGTCTTCTGCTCTTCCAGTACTGTCTACCCCTGCTACTTATTCTCCTCTGCTACCTCCGTATCTTTCTGCGACTGCGCAGGAGGAGGGATGTGGTGGAGAGAGCAGGAGGTGGGGATTCAGGTGGACGCAGAGGAGGCCACCGCAGAGTAAATATCATGCTTCTTTCTATTGTAGTAGCCTTTGGCCTTTGTTGGCTTCCCCTCACTGTATTCAATGCCCTTTTTGACTGGGACCATGAGAGCATTTCATCATGCTACCACAACCTTATATTCTCCCTCTGCCACCTGGCAGCTATGGCATCCACTTGTGTCAACCCTGTCATGTATGGTTTCCTCAACAGTAACTTCCAAAAGGAAGTGAAGACCTTGCTGCTCCGCTGCCGCTGTGCAGGAGGTCGAGATAAGTATGAAAGTTTCCCTCTCTCTACTGTCAGTACTGAGGTGTCAAAGGCTTCTCTACAAAGTGTAACTAATGGAAACAATGTTTAAGTCAAACTGTCAGGAACCCGGTGTGGGTTTGCTGGACAAACAGTCGGACATTAATCTCCAATTAAACAGAGTCTAATTTCTGAAACACAAAGTTGTGCCAAATTGCTGCTTCCTGGAAATTCTCTCTTGTTACATAAAGCTTAAACCATGCCAATGACACCAATTACTGCTATTTAACTGCATATGTTTACATTGAATAACTCTAGACCAGCCTTTCTCAACCTTTTCAACGTAGAGGAACCCTTGACATAACTTTCAGATCTCAGGGAACCCCTACTAAAATGACTTTATCCACAATTCATGATACATCAGTGTGATAGGGAGAGGTAAGAATGCTCCTTACACTTGTGGTCATTGGGAAGAATTACCCCCTTACAGATTTCTAAAAAGATCAATGGTGTCAGTGGGAACTTACTTGAAAGGTAAAAATTGCTCAAGGAACCCCTGGCAACCTCTGGAGGAACACTAGGGTTCCACGGAACCCTGGTTGAGAAACCCTGCTCTAGACAAACCTAAATTATAATACCATAATGTTTTGACCCCCATCTAGCAGTATGCACACTGATGTTTGTGAGTTGTGTTCTTCATACCATTTAGACATTATTGATTGGAGAAAGTGAGATAAAAGGAAACATCAGCCTTATCCACCAACTTAACCTTTTGTCACTAATTGCTTTTCATCAAAGAACGTCACTTTTAAGCAATCACTTTAGTGTCACTTTGAAACAAAACGCAGGTGTTGAGCATGTGGCACATATTATTACCATGAGAACTTCTGTTTCTTCCCAGGACAGCCTCACCAAACCTTTCTTACTGCACAAATACTCCCCGACTTAACAAATGTAGACATTGGCTTCTCAAGTTGCACTGAACATGAGAAAAGACTTGATTGATAACTGCATGATATGTAACAGAACTTGAGAATAAAAGGACCACCCTAGTTACTTGCACTTTACATGTAATTGTGAAATGGGAGTGTAGGTATCTTGACCAATGAGGAACCCGAGTGTCCATTTTCATCTGGATATACTGCAAGCATGGACCTTCTCTGAAGATCTTCTAGCACATGGCAGCAGCTGACTTACCCACAAGTTCTGATGTTTGATGTTTACATGTACACAACAATATGTTTATAGAACTTTTCTATATTTCCATCCTGCACAGATCGTATGGGCTGGCCTCCAAATGTATTTTATTAAGTGTTCAACTGGCTACGGAGAAGCTCTTTAGCATCATCACAATGCATTTTTATGGTTGGCACCACGTGGAAGTAGCAGTTATTTTTAACAAGCTGAACATCTATATTCTAAAGCCAATGCAGTAGTGATCAATGACTGATATAGCAACAACCATTCTTTGCTACCCTGGCAGCATTTTTAAATCTGGATTGCAGTTGAATTTGCTATCTTCGTTGAATATGGAATCCAAAATTCAGGCTAACATGGTCTAAAATGGGAGAAAATGTGAAAATGTCTATAATAATATTATTATTTTATGACATATCTGTAAAACGAATTCTTCTGTACAATTTTAAGGGCTTACAGACACTAGAAAGCATTTAAAGTCACTGCATGGCAGAGGACTAGCAGGAAACGCACACTGCATTCCCGTTATATTCTCAGAAACAATATATTTCTTTTTTTTTATTGCTTGAATTCTTCTTGTGTTAGATCTTGCTCACATTGGCATTGACTGCACTTGTTGGGTATTACACTATTTACACTCAACTAGTGTCCCGGCTATGACAGTGCTTGGTCCAACTTAGTTGAAAAAATAAATGTTGATTGCAATACAATGCTGCTCACATGTGTTCAGCCATTTGGCTCCAAACAATCCTTCTGCCCTGGCATCTGCAGGAGGGTTAGCAGACAAAGGGGATGTGAACAGGGTGCCCACCTAAATGCCATATTTAGGAAACCTGGGTGTAAAGAGTGCTTATTACTATGTTTCTAGTTTTTCCACAGACCCTGTGTATGTATATGAGTCTGTGCATGGGGAGGCTGGATCTGCCCTTATGTTGTCCTTTTATTTGTGATGTAAGGTAAATGTGGCTTTTACCTGTGTGTACTTTAAATACAGTACCATAACAGTTTAGCTGTTTGTGTGCCTTGGGTAGTCTGGTATTGCCCTTGTTGTACATGTGCTGGTTACACATGTATGTCTCTACAGTATCTGAGTGGTCAGTGCCTGCTGTCAAAGCTGTGTTCATGTAAACCTTATAGCTTACTTAGAGGAAATCCCTTTATTGTGTAAGGTCCCTTGCAAACTCACATCTTGTCAAAGGCAATTTAATGCTTCCTGTCACCTGGCGCTTAGACACACATTGGTGCATGTACAACAGACTGCATTTACCTGTTTAGTACCTCCTGGCTGTAATGATTACACAAAATTGGTCTAAATGTTGGTTGACAATGAGTGTTCACCTGAGCCACATAAGACACATGTAAGGGGCACACCAGCGTCACTCTCATTAGATTACATTTCAAGATACAACTGTGTGCAAACAAGTTTAGCTTACAGCATTTAGAGTACGATTACACAATACAACCTTTTTGTACAGCAAAACAACAGTGCAGGCTATGAATATATATCTAAACCCAATAAAAATTTTGAATATTTAGCACCGCCTTACTCAACCTTTTCAACACAAAGGAACCCTTGAAGTAACTTTTCGGTCTCAGGCAATCCTTGTTAAAAATGACTATAGCTACAGCTCATGACACATTAGTCATTGGGAAGAATACTCCTTACAGTAGTTGTCATTGGGAAGAATTACCCCTTATAGATAGCTAAAAATATCAATGGTGTCAGTGGGAACTTATCTGAGAGGGAGAAATTACTTATTGGTTAAGGATCCCTAGCAACTTTTGGAGGAACCCTAGGGTTCCATGGAAACCTGGCTGAGAAACCCAGATACAGCATCACACATGGAGGCAGAGGGACATGCAGCATAAAAAGGCCATTTGTTTGTGTCTAAAAGTCACAGGTGGTGTGCACAGTTTCCTGTACAAATCAATGAAAAGATGCAGCTGTATGTGGGTAAGCGTAGATCCAAGCATACACATTTGTACAGGTAGTACGCCCCTGGACATATACAGTGTGCATTCGGGGAATACACCTGTACCTGTTTTCCAGGACAGTCTGCATCCAGAAGCAGCATTATCACTCCAGGACAGGATTACAAAACACCTCTCCATAGCATGTGTTGAAGGTTTTATGTAGTCTATGGAGGTAAACTGAGTGAGGCGTATAACACTGCTTGGTATTTCAGTGCAAAATAGGAAGAGTGCACAGGAGGTGAGGAGCTCAACAGATTTGTGGCAGAATCAACAAGTATTTTTTTTTCTTTTTTGCTTGCAGAGTTTTTAAAGAGACGAAACACTGGGAAATGTGCAGGTATTTGAGAGATGTACTGATTTTTTTACTTAGACATTTTAAGATTGCTTAAACCCTGGGTAAATAAAAAAAAGGAAATATCTGCACTGTGGAGTAGATGCTATACTGATCAGTATTTTGATTCCTAATCTTGAAACAAAACTGTCCTAGTCTACTCTAAATACATTGGTACACCACTATTTTACGACATGTTCTGAGGAAGCCAGTCCACCGAAAATTGGTCTGTCTAAGGAGGTCTGTTAACAGTTTTGTGAAGCTTTAACAATGTTTGCATTATATGCTTGTGTAGACAAAGTCTGCAGGTTTACCTAAAGGTTACCAATCTTACCTTGAAGCAAAACTTCCACTCTCCCCCCATAGTAACTTTTTTTTTGTTGTTGTTCTGGGAGCAGATACCTAGTTTTTACAGATACCTGCTCCGACTTCTGCTCAGATCGCCTAGGGGACCTGTCGGAAGCTTGCCTCTAACCCCATGCCTGCATCCTCTTGGGACACGTCACAGATCCCCAGAGGCTGTGGAATCATTCACAGAGTGCAATGCTGTGGGAGCCAGCTGTGAAGCCACAGGGAATCACAGCCTGCATCCTACAGTCAACATGGTGGCCTCGAAGATTGATAAAGAACCAGACCAGGGTTAGGACAGCACTGAATCCCTGGGCTGGTAAGTGTCTTTTTATTAAAAGTCAGCAGCTACAGTATTTGTAGCTGCTGACTTTTTTTTTTTTTAACTAATGCTCCTCTTTAAGTTATACTTTATGAACTGGAGTGGTTGGGTGGGCTGAGTAACCTGCTGGCTTTTTGCATCTCTAGGCAACTTCAACAGATAGATTTCTCACCATAGTCCCTGATTCTGTTCATAGCCTTGCTGGAGGCTCCTTCCTCCTGTTATACAAGTGTGAAGGCTCCCTCCTCATGTTACGACAAGCATGTTCCCACTGTTCCTGGTATATCCTTCAAGGAATCATAGAAGAAAGACAGCAAAAAAATACCAAGTGGTCCATCGAGTTTTCCCCTCTTTTGATTTTTGCTGTTATTCTTTTTTCTCTGTTTTAATCTTTTTGTCTTCATAATAAAAAATCCAGCAGGGAGAGTAGAACCCCCTCGAAATGGTAGTGGCAGATGTGCAGACCTTGGAGCTTAAGCACAGAGATCTTGCAATTGGCAGCCCTAAGAGATATAAGAAACTGCTAAGAGGTTTTACTCTCCAGCATCTACCAAACACTGAAATATCAGCAAAGGATTGACAGATCCTTTAAGGAGCTCCGTTATTTATATTTGTTATTTAAAAATAAACCCTATAGTATTGCACCAAAAAATGCAGAACCAGTCCGATTCATACTTTTTTGAAAGAGGCCTGTAAGATAATAGATATTCATTGAAGTAATATTTCATGGAAAACAAAGGAAGGCAGGGAAAACAAAACATTTTAATATAGCAAAGCAAGTAGTACAGTGCAGTTTATACAAATTTATGTTATCACCATGCTTTTCCCAAAGGCTCATAATCAAAAGGTAATCTTATTGCCAGCACATAAGGGCTGGTATACACTAGCATTTGTAGGGCAGTAAAACCCTGCAATTAGGTCATTATTTTACTGCCCCCTA